GAAAAAGAAGAGAAGGTTGAAAAGAGAAGTAACAGTGACAGCAAAGAAAACAGGGAAACAAAATTAGATGGTCCTGGTGAAAATGCCAGTGAGGATGAGGCTCAGTCAAGTAATGAAGAAGGAGAGCTAATATGCACAGGTGGGAGCACGCCATTCAGACGATGTAAGACCAGACAGTCAAGAAAGACCTGGATCCTGGAACAGCTCAACCTGAAGCAAATAAACCAGCACATAACAGTAGGAGAAATGAGACACAAAGTTGGAGGAGAGATAGAGAAAAACGTGATGATGGAGAGGAAGTTTCCAGTGTGAGAAGTGAGGGTGGCAATACCTGAAGTTCCTTCAGAGGCCAGGGAAGAGGCCAAGGACAAGGAAGAGGACGAGACAGAGAAAATCCTCAATTGAACTTTGATTATTATTTGTAAGTTTACTGAGAACATGGTGAAAGACTGATCAGCCATTTCAAACAGAACTTAATACCTTGTATTACCATGATGATGGTACAGGCACACAGGTGTAGCCTGTGGAAGAAGCATTGCTTAAAGAGTATATTAAGGGTCAAAGTGAATATTACTTCAGCACAGAAAATTTGGAACAGGTCTTTTTTCTTTGGAGAAAGATGGATGAACAAGGTTTCTTGCCTAATTCACTGATTGCTGGTTTTCATCATGTTCAGCCTCTCACTATAAACCTTAATCTCATCTTAGAGGCACTGAAAGCAGTGAAGTAGAAATTGTGGATGAGAAAATGAGAAAAAAGATAGAACCAGAAAAATGTCTAAATCCAGGCCCTCCTCTATGTACTGTGAAACAAATATAGACTTCTCTCAACTGACTGATTGTCAGGAATTCGTACCAGGCCACACCTTTTGTTCACATACAGGTAACAACTTTTCTTTTCTTTCTTTTTTTTTTTTTTTTTTTTTTTTTTTTGTTGTTGTTGTTTTTGCAGTTTGGCTGGGGCAGGTTCAAACCCACCACCCTCAGTATATGGGTCTGGTGCCCTAGTCACTGAGCCACAGGTGCCACCCCCAGGTAACAACTTTTTTTCTAGAGCAAACATCATAATAGTGGGCTATTTGGTCCAATTCACTTATCCCTTTTTTAGTTTATCGAGATTCACTGGAAAAATTAATGATAAATAAATGACTTTTAATGCTCCAAATTCTGTTGCCTCCCACACAGAGCTAGCTGTAAGTTAAATAAGGATCTAAGAATTCTGAGGGATGCTCTTTTGTGTTTCTTGTTCTTAAATTATATTTGTACTTTGTTATGTATGATTTTACTAAATGATTGCAAATACATTGTGCCAGCTTTCCCCTTTGTAAAACTGGAACAGTCTAGTATGAAATAGTCTAAAAGTCTTAAAAGTGGGGTAGCCTTTCTTTAATTTTGTTGCCAATGTACTTCAGCTTGTCTTAAAAAGATAAGACAACCTCCATTCTAAAGCAGAATTGGGGTTCTCTTTAATCTGGTTTTGTGTAGAACAGTGGTTCTCAACTTTCCTAACGCTGAGATGTATTTTCATTTTTACAAAGGGGTCACGACCCACAGGTTGAGAACCACTGGTGTAGAATTTCCAAAATGTGCTTTGATCTTAAGAATTTTTCCTGTATCATTTTTACGACATTCCCTCTTGAGAAAAAAATGTGTGCTTAAACTGTTTTCAGTCAGGGTAATGAGCTACTGATGCTCGTCATTCGATCAGAACACGCAGTGGAACTGGTGTCTCACTGAAAGGCCAGTATAAATATTGAAACAAATACTGCAGAAGTGAAAGTGACCAGACTGTCTTCTGTTCAAGAATATCTACTCCAACTCTATGTGGAGGAGGTTGGGCCAACACTACCATGAAGATAAACCACCTTTGTGATGAGGATGAGAGATAGAGCAGAGGGCTGCTATGTGTTTATAGGAGCTGACCCTTTCTGTGCCATTGGCCTGGGCTGCATGGGCTACTTTTATTCACGGTGGGCAAGTTAACTATTATTCTGGAAATACTGCAAGAGTTGGTCGTGTGTTTTCAGGCTTATATACTTGTGTCCAGATCAATATAGTAGAAAAGGAGAGGATCGAGTAGCCTTTTCCACATTGTTAAGTACTTTGCTATTTGATTTGTCTTTCAGTACAGTGTCCAGCACATAACGCAAATGTTGTCATGATGTTTCCCATGGACTGTAAGATTTATTAAAGTGTACATACAAAAGGTAAGAAATCTTTTTAAAATTCTTTGAAATTCTTTTTAAAATTCTTTTAAAAAAAGAAAGAAAGATGAATAGCCATTAAACAGATAAGAATAATGTAAACACTGACAGCAAAGTGCAACTTAAATGAGACACCATTTCCTCTAATGAAGTGGCAAGGAGTCTAACACCAGACGTCGGCAGGAGTCTGGACACAGGCAGACACTACTGACTGGAGTAGAAAGGCCCACCCTGCTTTCTGGAGAAGGGCTTGGCAACACTTGGGAACCAAAGGATTTGACACAAGTCTCTCACCTTTTGATTCAGTGGCTTCATTTCAAGAATTCAGCCTAAGGAAATAATTAGACAGCTATGTAAATATGTATGGTCAAGAGTATTTACTACAGCATAATATCAAGGGTTTAAAGATTGAGACCCACCTAAATGCACTAAGACAGGAAACTGGCTTCAATGAACTAGTAGAACACTGGGCCACTCTTCCGAATGATGTTGGCTAATGGGTTCCCTATTGTGATGCACTGGACACAACATCACTTCCGTGGTACTCCTGGCAAGAAATGTATAACCATCAGACACACCCCCAGTTTAAGAAAAGTCTACAAAATAAATGATCTATATTCTATTAAAACACCAATATAAAGAAAGGCAAAATGGCTCGGCGCCTATAGCTCAACCGGCTAAGGCGCCAGCCACGTACACCTAAGGTGGCGGGTTCAAATCCCCAGCCCGGACCCGCCAAACAACAATGATGGCTGCAACCAAAAAATAGCCGGGCATTGTGGCGGGCGCCTGTGGTCCCAGCTACTTGGGAGGCGGAGGCAGGAGACTCGCTTGAGCCCAGGAGTTGGAGGTTGCTGTGAGCTGTAATGCCACGGCACTCTGCCCAGGGGGACAGCTTGAGGCTCTGTTTAAAAAAAAAAAAAAAAAAAAAGAAAGGCAAAATGGCCCAGAAACATTGGGTCATGCCTATAATTTCAGCACTTTGGGAGGCCAAAGTGGGAGGATCACTTGAGCCCAGGAATTCAAAACCAGCCTGGGCAACCCAGGGAGACACTATCTCTCAAAAAAAAAAAAAAAGATGCAGGGGAGAAAAAAACATAACAGGTGAAATCACAGTAAGGAACTACACCCATATATAAGGAATTTTTTTTTTAACTTGACAGCTAGGCTACATACACTGAGGCTGGTGGGTTCGAACCCATTGTGGGCCAGCTAAACAGCAATGACAACTGCACCCAAAAAATAGCCAGGTCTTGTGGTGGGCGCCTGTAGTCCCAGCTACTTGGGAGGCTGAGGCAAGAGAATCACTTAGGCCCAAGAGTTGGAGGTTGCTGTGAGCTGACATCACAGCACTCTACTGAGGGCAACATAGTAAAACTCTGTCTCAAAAAAAAAAAACAAAAAACTTGACAACTAAATGCAATGGCAATGCATGATCACAGATTAGGTCCTGGACCAAGGAAAAAAGTTGTTACAAAGGACATTATAGGGCCACTAGCAAAAGTTGTATATGGACTGTAGATTACATCATAGTATTAAATCAATCTAAGTTTTCTGATTTGGATAATTATACTATATTATGTAAAAGAAAATTTCTGTCCTTGTAAAATTCACACTGAATGGTTTAAGGGTAAAAGAACACCTTTACCCTTACTCTCAAATGGTTTGGAAAAGATATTAATATATACTTATAGGGAAATAACGATAAAGCAAATGTGGTCAAATGATATCAATTGATGAATCTTAGTTAAGTGTATCCTGGAGTTCTTTTCTGTTTTCTTCTTTTTTTCTGTGAGTTTAAGACTATTTCAAAATAAAAAGTTTTTTTAAAAAGAAAAAGAAGAAAAGAGTGCTGCTGGTGGAATATGCTCCTCGGCAGGGGATGGTGCTCAGGTGCACCAGGCTGTGGCCATGAGGCCTCCCTCCACGCTGGGCTGTGCACAGCTGCTGATGGCACCTCACGCCACCCCAGACTCTCAGTTCTCTTTGCTACTGGAGGAACTCGATGTGTATATGGCCAGGCCCAAAGCTGTCCTGGGTTGACTCAAGACAGTAGAATAAACTTTGGGGGGCAATGAATTCCCTTTTATAATTTTGTATTCTAACTGGTATTCCCTGCATCCTAGGGACCTCTGCAGTGGAGGGAGCCAGAGATGAGGGGAATGACAATTACCCAAATTCAGTGTTTGCTGAAGATACTCCAGACTACAAAACTTAGAGTGAACTATGTTCATTTATCATTGATAAGACAGTCTTATACATTCTTCTCCAAAGGAAGTCCTAAACTTCCCCAAGACCAGCATCTTGCCCACCTCCAGAAAGAGAAAAATAAGTCTCAGCAAAGGCCAACATAAGGCCCAGAAGTCCCCTGGGTTCTCTCTGCAAGGTGAATGATTTCAAATTATGAGAAGTTACAGGTTCTCTGAGAAGCATCTGTACTGACCTGGCAAATTAAGCATCTTCTCCTGGGAAGAAGAATAGGGAGATCTCTCACCACCCCACAACTTTATTTCCAGTTCCTGCCTCTCCTGGGCAGTGCGGGGCCAGCCACCCAAAGTCCCTGTCTCTAGAAAGGAGAGACTACATCCCTTACGGAGGGTCTGCCCCCACAGGGTTCCACAAACCCACTTCTCCCTCCTATCACCTGCCCTGCAGATACACTATCCTACTTCCCCCCACATCCCCAAGGGTTGTCAGGGACAGAAGGCCCCTCCCTCATCCCCCACAGTGTTCCTCGACTCCTCCCCACCCCCATCACTAGGGTGTCCAGGACATTGTGTGACTCAGGAAACAGCTCAGACGTGAAGCTTGCAGCAGGCCGAGGAGGAGGAAGAAGGGGCATTGGGAGCAAAGGAGGTGGCTCCTGCCTAGTGAGGGCTCTGAGGGTCCCTGCCTGAAGAGGGACGGGGCTCTGGAATGCAGCCCCCTTCACCGCTGCTGCTGCTGCTGCTGCTGCTGCTGCTGTGTTTCTCAGTGGTCATGACCAGAGGTGAGGCATGGGTGGGAGAGGTGAGGCACCCATCTCCCTTAGGAGGATGTCCAGTGAGATGGAGGAAGAGGGCCAACCCCCAGGTTTTGAGGGGACACTGGATGGAGGAGATCATCAGCCCCCAAATCGGGACAGCTTGCAGGAAGAGATGACTGCCAGTGGAGCTACACAGACTAAGGCTTTGGGCCTGGTGCCAGGGGTGGTAACTGCTATGGGGGAAGAGGGTGCCCATCCCCAGGGAAAACATAGTCAGCCCTGAACTAAGAGGTAGAGGGCTTTTACAGCCACATTGAGGAGGGGAGAGGGGACAGACCAACCACCTGTTAGGGGAAGAGATGAGAAGGAAGCAGGAGATGGAGACAAGGGCCCTGGTCCCTTTCCTGGTCCAGTTATCCCCACCCCCGGATGGCTCAGTGCTAGGCCCTTCCTGGAGGAAATCCCGTCTAAGACTCAGCCATTCACCTCCCAGGAGCCCCCATGGCCCCCCTCCTGATGCCTGTTGTCTTGCTTCCGAGGGTTGGAGCCTAAGGCTGGACTTGGGAGGCCAGAGAATAAACAGGAAAGGGGGGGTAGTAACTGAAAGGCCTGGGGTGGAGGGGGCTGGAGTAGGAGCCACAGGAGCTGGGGGCAGCTGGTTTAGGCACCTCTAGGGGCTCCATAGGCAGGCCTCTCAGGGGAGGAAAGGTGGAGACACTGCCCCCCCATCTCATCTCCCTCTCCTCCCTAGGGCTGCTGTGTGGGAGTTTCCCTGAACCCTGTGCCAATGGGGGCACCTGCCTGAGCCTGTCTCAGGGGCAAGGGGCCTGCCAGTGAGTGTGGGAGTGGGAGTGGGAAAAGAGAGAAGGGGGGCAGGAGAGGATGGAGGGAGAGGTGAGGAAGTGGGACCAAGGAAGAAAGGGAGGAAGGGCAGGAAATGAAGGGAAATGAACGAAGGCAAGGAGGGTGGTGGGAGAGCAAGGGAAGAGGGCCCAATGACGATGACGTCGGTTCTTCCCCCTCCTCCCCTGCTCAGGTGTGCCCCTGGCTTCCTGGGTGAGATGTGCCAGTTTCCTGACCCCTGCCAGGATGCTCAGCTCTGCCAGAATGGGGGCAGCTGCCAAATCCTGCCTCCTGCCCCTCAAGGGTCCCCCAGCCCTTCCTCCCATTTGGCCCCCAGCTTCTTCTGTACCTGCCCCCCTGGCTTCACTGGTGAGAGATGCCAGGCCCAGCTTGAAGACCCCTGTCCTCCCTCCTTTTGCTCCAAAAGGGGCCGCTGCCACATCCAGGCCTCTGGCCGCCCTCAGTGCTCCTGCATGCCTGGATGGACAGGTAAGTGCTGATGAGGGTGGCAAGGAGGGGACAGGCAGGAGCAAAGGGGCTAGCCTGTGGGATGGGAAAGACAGAACTGCACCCTGAGAGACTGTGAGCACTTTCAGGACAGAAGCCATAAGAATTAACATGCCAATTCTTGGCAATCCACATACCCAGGATTGACATTGACCCGCTACATAACCTTGTCCATAAGGTTGTACTGATTGTTAAAAAGTTGAAATATATCCAAACTAAGGGTGCCATAAGCCCCCACTGTGCACCGTTCTGATGCTTCTCCAGGCCCCCTCAAACTCTCCACTCTCCAGCAGCTGGAGGGTTACTGCCCAGCTTACCGGGGCCTCCAGAACTCTGCATTCCGAACATCTGAATGGCCCCTTTTCCGACTGGTGGGTGCTGATAATATCACCCGGAAAGACTGCAGCAGTGGGAGGTGTGATGGGGACAGGCGGGAAGTGACCCAGAGAGAGGAGTAGGGAAACAGGGTGTAACCCTTGGGTGAGCTTAGTGCTGCAGAATAGGGGCTCTAGGGCACCCCAGATCCAAATAGCAGTTCTGCCACTGACCAGCTACATAACCTTGCATAAGATATTTTAGCTTTCTGGGTCCTCATCTGTCAGCTGACAGAGAGACTAATGCCCACACTTAATAAGGTTGTTGAAAGGATGGAAGGGGCTCTGGGCGAGGTGGCTCACACCTGTAATCCCAGCACTTGGGAGGCCAAGGCGGGAAGATTGCCTGAGCTCACAGGTTAGGGACCAGCCTGCGCCAGAGTGAGATCCCTGTCTCTAAAAAATAGCCAGGTGTTGTGGCCGGTGCCTGTAGTCCCAGCTACTCAGGAGGCTGAGGCAAGAGGGTCACTTAAACCCAAGAGTTTGAGGTTGCTGTGAGCTAAGATGTCATGGCAGTCTATGAAGGGTAACAAAGTGAGACAGAGTGAGACCCCCCAAAAAAGGAAGAAAGAAAGGATGGAAGGGGATGATGCTCAGGAAGTGCTTGCTTAGCTCAGTACCTGCCATATAGTGCGTATGCAGTGAAGGGGGCTACAGCCACCACAAGGTGCCAACCTGAGTCCGCTGCCTGCAGATGCTGATTGCCTTTCACCTCCCCCAAAAAGGTCACCACTGAAGGGACCCACGTCCCAGATTTTCCCAGTTGGGGCCAATTTGTAATACTCCCATCATTAGATACATGTCCTATTTTCAGTTTAGAAAATATGGTCACCCCAGATATATCCCTCTCAAAGCATGGCAAAACTGAGTAATAAAGGGAAAGAGATATGATAATCAGACACAGATAATCCAGAGTGAGAGCTGGGTGATCTCAGAGGGGCTGGCGTTTAGGCCATACTGGAACAGGACCCTCTGCCCTGTGCCTCAGGGGAGCAGTGCCAGCTCCGAGACTTCTGCTCAGCCAACCCCTGTGTCAACGGAGGTGTATGTCTGGCCACATACCCCCAGATCCAGTGCCGCTGCCCGCCTGGCTTCGAGGGTCATGCCTGCGAACATGATGTCAACGAGTGCTTCCTGGACCCAGGACCCTGCCCCAAAGGCACCTCCTGCCATAACACCCTGGGCTCCTTCCAGTGTCTCTGCCCTGCGGGGCGAGATGGTCCACACTGTGAGCTATGGGCAGGACCCTGCCCCGCCAGGGGTTGTCCTAATGGGGGCACCTGCCAGCTGGTGCCAGGGGCAGACTCCACCTTTCACCTCTGCCTCTGCCCCCCAGGTACATTCTCACAGGGGCTTTCTTGCAGCCCCTCTCTCTGGGCGGGGACGGTTATCTCCCTTAGATGCCCACCCTCAACTGATCCCATGACCTCATCAGGTTTTACAGGCCCTGACTGTCAGGTGAATCAAGACAACTGTGTCAGCCACCAATGTCAAAATGGGGGCACTTGCCAGGATGGGCTGGGCACCTACACCTGCCTCTGTCCGGAGACCTGGACAGGTGGGTTGCTTGAACCAAACTCATGACACTAGTGGCCCAGGTGGTCAGCCCCAGCCCTGCCCTACACCCAGGGCTCCCTTATCCCTTCCTCACCCCCTGCAGGCTGGGACTGCTCCAGAGACGTAGATGAATGTGAGACCCAGGGTCCCACTCGCTGCAGAAATGGGGGCACCTGCCAGAACTCGGCTGGCGGCTTTCACTGCGTGTGTGTGAGTGGATGGGGAGGCACAGGCTGTGAAGAGAACCTGGATGACTGCATTGCTGCCACCTGTGCCCCAGGATCCACATGCATTGACCGTGTGGGCTCCTTCTCCTGCCTCTGTCCACCTGGACGCACAGGTATGGAGTAGAGCGTATCCAGAGATGGGAATACAGGTGAGAGAGGAACCAGGAAGGCCCATGAGAGCCTTATCTCCATCCTGCCCCTTAGGTCTCCTGTGCCACCTGGAAGACATGTGTCTGAGCCAACCATGCCACGAGGCAGCCCAGTGCAGCACCAACCCCCTGACCGGCTCCACACTCTGCCTGTGTCAGCCTGGCTACTCAGGGCCCACCTGCCACCAGGACCTCGACGAGTGTCAGATGGGTGAGCATCTCCGCATCAGAGCTTCTCTGAGCCCCAGACAGGCCTCTGCACTGAAGAGAGAAAAGGACAGATTGCTTTTCAAATTAAAAAAACAAGCATCGTTTTCCTTGAATTTGTCCAGATTTGGCATCATTTCCCTCTCATGCTCAGGCATGAGATCCTAAATGCTCAGCCCTTCAGGTCCCATGGATTTGTCCCCTTAGTCCTTCTCCATCTTAAAGACACAAAACCCTTCCCCAACTTGGTCTTATCTACGACATGCCTTCCCTGCCACCTGGGCTCCTTGCCCTTCCCACTCTGGACCTCTGTGAACTCCTGGATCTTCTTTCCTCCCAGCCCAGCAAGGCCCCAGTCCCTGTGAACACGGTGGCTCCTGCCTCAACACCCCTGGATCCTTCAACTGCCTCTGTCCACCTGGCTACACAGGTTCCCGCTGTGAGGCTGATCACAATGAATGCCTGTCCCAGCCCTGCCACCCTGGCAGCACCTGCCTGGACCTACTTGCCACCTTCCACTGCCTCTGCCCACCAGGTACCAGTTGAAGGGGGCCTTGGTTGGAGAGGACAGGAAACTAATCCTGAAGCCATTGGGAATTGCCTCTCTGACAGTGAGGAGAGCCTCAGGCCAGTCAGAGTCAGTTACCTCAGCCTGCTTCTCTCCCCATCCCCACATGAAAACTCAAGGATACTCATGACCCCTAGGAGAAGGGTTACCACAGACAGTAGTGAGGTTGCACATTACTCAATTCTGGGGTTCCATCATTCATTTCATAGTCATCAAAGAGTGCACAACCTGGCCCACTGTACACAGCAGCCCAACAAAGGCAGGTAGAATAGCAGTTAATAAACTACATGCTGCAGCCTCTGCTGAAGTCAACCCAGAAAGCTCCCCTGATCACAGAAACTCTCCCATGTAGAGATACCCAGGTATAAGGTAATTCCTTAAGATCCCAAAAGTCCTCTGTGCTTGAATTTGGTGTAACAGGTAAGGAATGCAGCAAAATTGCACCCACCTGCAGACTAGTTTTAAGGGGGAAAAGTCTCCCCAGGAAGAGAGTCACAGAATCAATGTCAAGGGAGCTGAATGAAACAAAAAGAAAAACTACAGCTGACTTTGTGCCAGGTACTGGCTGAGCACCTTACATGCGTTGTCTCATCTCTTTTCTTTTTCTTTTTTTTGAGACAGGATCTCACTTCAGTGCCCAGGCTAGAGTGCAGTGGCATCATCATAGCTCATAGTAACCTCAAACTCTCAGGCACAAGTGATCCTCCCACCTCAGCCTCCTGAGCAGCTGGGACTACAGTTGTGCACCACCACACCCAGATAACTTTTTGCAAAGACGGGGTTGGGTCTCACTATTGCCCCAGCTGGTTTCGAACTCCTGGCCTCAAAGACACACACACACACACACACCCACCCCAGGCCTCTTCCCAAAGTGCTAGGATTATAGCTGTGAGCCACCAAACCCAGCCTCATCTACTCTTTACAACAACTCCATGAAATCAGCTTTGTTACTATGCCCATTTTTTTTAATTTATTGTTGGGGATTCATTGAGGGTACAAGAAACCAGGTTTTACTGATTGCATTTGTTAGGTAAAGTCCCTCTTACAATCATGTTTTGCCCCCCAAAGGTGTGGTATAAACCAAGACCCCACACCCCTCCTTCCTTTCCTCTCTCTGCTATTCCCTTCCTCACTCCTCCCTCCTTCTTCCTCTCTCTGCTCCTCTGCCCTTCCCCTACCCCCGCCATTGTCATTAATTGTCCTCATATCAAAATTGAGTACATAGGATTCATGGTTCTCCATTCTTGTGATGCTTTACTAAGAATAATGTGGTCCACTTCCATCCATGTTAATACAAAGGCTATAAAGTCTCCATTTTTACTGGCTGAATAGTATTCCATGGTATACATATACCACAGCTTGTTAATGCATTCCTGGGTTAGTGGGCATTTAGGCTGTTTCCACATTTTTGCAATTGTAAATTGAGCTGTAATAAACAGTCTAGTGCAAATGTCCTTATGATAAAAGGATTTTTTTCCTTCTGGATAGATGCCTAGTAATGGGATTGCAGGATCAAATGCGAGGTCTAGCTTGAGTTCTTTGAGGGTTCTCTATACTTACTTCCAAAAAGGTTGTATTAGTTTGCAGTCCCACCAGCAGTGTAAAAGTGTTCCCTTCTCTCCACATCCATGCCAGCATCTGCAGTTTTGAGATTTTGTGATGTGGGCCATTCTCACTGGGGTTAGATGGTATCTCGGGGGTGGTTTTGATTTGCATTTCTCTAATAATTAGGGATAATGAGCATTTTTTCATATGTTTGTAGCCATTTGTCTGTCTTCTTTAGAGACTATGCCCATTTTATAAATGAAGAAATTTGACTGGGTATACCAGCTCATGCCTATAATCCTATCATTTTGCAATGCCAAGACAGAGAGATTGCTTGAGGCCCTGTTAGATCAGCCTGAACAACCTAGCAAGACCCCTCCTCTACAAAAAAATCTTTGAAAATTTACTTGGGTATGGATGGTGCATTCCTGTTGTCCCAGCTACTTGAGAGGTGGAGGCAGGAGGATCCCTTAAGCTCAGGAGTTTGAGGTCACAGTGAACTAAGATGATGCCACTGCACTCTTGCCTGGGCAACAGAGCAAGACCCTATTTCAAAAAGAAAAAGGAAAGAAACTGAGAAACAGAGAGATTAAATGACTTGCCCAAGGTCACCCAACTAGGAAGTAGCAGAGGTGAGATTCAAAGTAAGGCCTTCATGGCTCAGCATCCATAACACAGTGGTTATGGCGCCAGCCACATACACTGAAGTTGACGGGTTTGAACCTGGCCCAGGCCAGCTAAACAACAATAATAACTGCAACAAAAAATAGCTGGGTGTTGTGAGGAGGGCCTCTAGACCCAGCTGCTTGGGAGGCTGAGGCAAGAGAATTGTTTAAGTCCAAGAATTTGAGGTATCTGTGAGCTGTGACACCACGGCACTCTACCAAGGGCGATATAGTGAAACTCTGTCTCAAAAAAAAAGAAAAAGTAAGAGCTTCAGTAGTTATAACTAGGCTGGGCACGGTGATGCACACTTGTAATCCCAGTACTTTGAAAGTCCAAGGCAGGAGGATCACTTGAGGTAAGGAGTTGAGACTAGACTTGGCAACACCTCAAAACCCCTATCTCTACCAAAAAAAAAATTGTCTTTAAATTAGCCAGGTACAGTGGTACCAGCCTCATGATCTCCCAGCTACTCATGAGGCTGAAGCAGGAGGATCGCTTGAGCCCAGAAGTTTGAGAGAGCTCAGAGAGCTATGATCAAGCCAGTGTACTTTAGCCTGGGCAATAAAGTGAGATTACGTCTCTTAAAAAAAAAATTCTAACCACTACTCCATGTCACCTTTCTAAGCTGAGCAACACCCAATGATAGGAGCTCAGGCCATCCACAGACAATCAGAAAAATAAGAGAAAATTCTTCAGTAATCTAGGGAACAAGGTTGTAGGTATCAAGGAGCTTCAGATGCAGGCTCCCCAGCAAGAAAAGGGAGTCACCCAATGTCTAAAGGCTGATTTTACCTCTATTCAGGGCAAGACAGTGGAGACCAGAATGAAGCCACAGGACAAATAGAGTAGCAACACAGCTTCCCAAATGCCCTGCAAATTCCCCCCTTTGGGCATCCCTATTCTCCCTGACATGGAGGACTGCCCAGATAGAACAAGAGAAGTGAATCTCCCTCCAAGCAAATGCCCATTTGTTTTATTTGTATCTTGAGGACCTCAGGCTGACTTGTGTGAGCCTGCCTTCTGTGCACACAGGAGCAGCCCCTAAAAGGCACTTCCTTACAGCCCTCCTACAGGCCCACAGCAAGTGCCCTGCTCCCTGAGCTTTCACACCTGAAGGAGGCAGAGCCACACACCTGCAGAGTGGCACAGCCTGTGGGTCCCTCTTATCCAGTCTACACACGCAGAGTCCGAGGGAGGGCTGCCTGATAGCAAGTCAGAGACAGGGCTTGTTCTGATTGTCTGTGGGTGGCCTGAGCTCCAGGTAGAAGTGGGAGCAGCCGAGGAAGGGCCAGCCCAGCTGAGCCTCACGGCTCACGACACCCCTGTCCTCAGGCTTAGAAGGGCGGCTCTGTGAGGTGGAGACCAATGAGTGTGCCTCAGCTCCCTGCCTGAACCACGCTGACTGTCACGACCTGCTCAATGGCTTCCAGTGCATCTGCCTGCCTGGTGGGTACAGAGTCCACTGCGGCCACTCTCAGCTCCACACCTCTTGAACCTCCAGTGTTCAGGCCCAACAACCACCTAGGCTTCTTGAAGCTCTGTCTAGCCTGCCCCAGGAGCCCCCCATTTCTCTAACTCCTTCTTTGCTGCTCAAAATCTTTTCTATTCCTAAGATGATAGCATTAATAATAATATTTAAAAATTGCAGTTCTGTCCTCACACCTCCCTTGGTTACTCACCCACCCTCATCTCTGCCTTGCCAAGTTACCAGAAGATCCTCCTGTCCAGCACTCCTGCAGAGTCCTCTGTGTACTCTCCTTGCATGTTGGGGATCCCAGGCTCATCTTGGGGCCATTTTTCTCCAGCTTCATTGGATATCTGTCTGTCCCCTGCTATGATAATAACTACATTTATCAGATAGTTACTCCAGGTCTTAGCTATGTCTTTTTGGGGCATTATGCCATTTAATCTTTTTAACAGTACCATTAACAGTGGGGTCCATTATTATTTCCCTTTTACAGAATAGGAAACTGGAGCCTAGAGAGGTCAAGTGGCTTGCCCAAAGGTGGCTGAGCTTCACCTTTTCTGCATCACTGTCTTGTCATCTCATGTCCACCTGCCCTAAGTGTCTTCTCTGGGAAGCGCCTCAGGTTTACCTTTCCTGAAAAGGAGAAGGGCTATAATGTATCTCCCTTGATGACCTTGGCCTTCTCTCCTCACCCACCCCCTGCCCCATAAGGATTTGCCGGCACTCGGTGTGAGGAAGACATCAACGAGTGCAAAAGCTCTCCCTGCGCCAATGGTGGGCAGTGCCAGGACCAGCCTGGAGCCTTCCATTGCGAGTGTCTCCCAGGTAAGCTGAGGCTCAGACACTGGAGGGGAGGATGGGGCCAGGAGCAGAAGTCTGTGCAGGTCTCTGACCCTCTGGCTGTGCCATAGGTTTTGAAGGTCCACGCTGTCAGACAGAAGTGGACGAGTGTCTGAGTGGCCCATGCCCCATTGGAGCCAGCTGCCTTGATCTCCCAGGAACCTTCTTTTGTCTCTGCCCCTCTGGCTTCACAGGTCAGCAAGGGAAGTGTTGGAAAGGTCAAGAAGGATATTTGAGTCCATCTGGGGTGGTGCAGAGGTCATTGGTGGGTGTCGATGATTGGGATGTAAGAAAGAATGAGAATGGTATCCTTCAAAGTTTTTCAGTGCAAAACGTGCACCACTGTACAACCCTTAGGACAAGAACAGTTTTTATTGTAGGTCCCACACTGGGCTCACCATAAATGCTTGGGACTCGGAGGCAGACAGTAGGTTCAAAGGGAACTCACCTACTTGCACCTAATATGCCAGACACAGATGCAAAGCTGAGTAAGAGAGTTGCTATCTCCAAATGGCTTTAAATCTAATGCAGAGAAACCAGTAAGTCTCCCGTTGTTTATGGCCCAGAGAGGAGCTCAGAAAGAGGAAAGCACAGTACCCTACAGGAGCATAAAGGACCAGCCAACCCAGACTAAAGACAGGAAGGCTTCATGGAGGAGATGATGCCTGAGATGAGTCTTGAAAGATGAGGAGGAGTGTGGAATTTGTCTAGACAGAATGTCAGATAGGGTGTGGGGGCACATACCTGTGGTCCTAGCTACTCAGGAAGCTGACTGGGCATGGGCACTGCCTGTGCAACATAACAAGACTCTGTATTTAATCAAAAGTGTTAAAACAAGCCTAGCTAGGATACCAGATGGTGTGTTTTAGCCAGAGATAACCACATGTGCAAAGGCATGAAAAGAAGAAAAGCACACTCCATTTAAGGAGCTATAAGAGATCCAGGGTCTAGAGTGCAACAGGGCAAAGATGAGAAACACAGCAGTTGTCCAAACATCATGTCATACAGGACCCTGTGCATGATTCTGAGGAGGTCAGTGTTCTCTAAAGCAATAGGGAGCCACTGAAGGACTGGTTCATAGGGAATGAGCAAGTCATGTGGAAGAAGTAGCCTCTGTCCCCATCACGGATGTGGCTCTGTTTTCTCTCTGGGCCATCTCCCCCCTCTCCAGGCCAGCTCTGCGAGGTTTCCCTGTGTGCCCCAAACCTGTGCCAGCCCAAGCAGATATGCCAGGATCTGAAAGACAAGGCCCACTGCCTCTGCCCCGATGGAAGTCCTGGCTGTGCCCCCACTGAGGACAACTGCACCTGCCACCATGGGCACTGCCAGAGGTAACCTCTCCAGGACTCCTTCACGTGCCCCTTCCTTCACATGCCCCCTTCACATGCTCTCCTCAGCTAGGGCAGGAGAAGACAGCCAGTCAGGTGCCAGGTCTGTGAGAAATGACCAGTGGGGAACACAAAGAAATGGCACAGTTCTCTGGGCAAGACAATGGGAGGGCTCAATTGGTGTTATCCAAGGAGGGGAGAGTACATAAATAACAGGGGTGAACAGGGAACAAGGGGGTCAGAGAAGAAGGAAGAGCATTAAATCCCAGGGCCAATTCACCACTCATCAGACGACCCCTGCGCAGCGCCCGCTTTGTGCACATGCTGTTCCAGGGACTGGGGAACAGCACAAAGCAAGGAGACAAAGCGACTGCTCCCAGGAGCTCTCATTCTAATAGGGAAAGACAGACAATGAACAACTTATAGAAGGAATATACATACACACGTATCTAGTCGGGGAAAATGAGTGGGGTGGGCTGGGGAAGGGGATGACACTGAGAGGAACATCACTAAAGAGACTGGCCAGGGCCTCAGGGCCAAAATATTAGGAGGTCATAGGAGTCCGGCCAATGGAGAGAGGGGAGAATATACTAGGAGAAGAGAAAAAAACTCCCTTTTCTCTTCTTACCAGATCATCATGTGTGTGTGATGCGGGTTGGACAGGGCCAGAGTGTGAGGCAGAGCTGGGGGGCTGCACCTCCACACCCTGTGCCCATGGGGGGACCTGTCATCCCCAACCCTCCGGCTACAACTGCACCTGCCCTGCACACTACACAGGTGAGGGTCTCCCGCATGTACCCCGTGCCGGTCACTCCTCCCCCCAAATTAAGGGCAAGGCATGGGAACACAGACCCTTCATCTCAGTCACCACCAAGGAGAACTGGGCATGGGCTGCTGGGGACACAGGTGACGTGCAGGAGGAAGTAGTGAGAAAATAAAAGAGGCTGTTTGGGGGAGAACAATAGGGCTGGGATGGGGAAGAGAAGGAGAGGGATGAAGAAGGGGCGGAGGGAGAGAAGGAGGATCCCAATTCTCAGACCCCCCCTGTTTCCTTTAGGGCCCACCTGCAGTGAGGAGGTAACAGTTTGTCACTCAGGGCCCTGTCTCAATGGTGGCTCCTGCAGCCCCAGCCCTGGGGGCTACTACTGCATCTGCCCTCCAAGCCACACAGGGCCCCACTGCCAAACTAGCACTGACCACTGTGCATCTGGTGAGCACCCCCATGTCCTGGGGCTGGGACACAAGAGGACAGAAGAAATGGGCAGGATGTGTTTGTGCCATATTTTTAAAAAATTAATTGGATGGCAGAGAGCTATTGTTTTGGTGGGGGGTGTAGGTCTTGTGTTGGTGCGACTGAGGCCATAGGCCAGGCTGCAGGCAAGGAACCCAAACCCTCACAGCCTCCTCTCTCTAGCCCCGTGCCTCAATGGGGGTACCTGTGTGAACAGGCTGGGCACCTCCTCCTGCCTCTGTGCCCCGGGTTTCCAGGGCCCACGCTGCGAGGGAAGGATCCGCCCCAGCTGTGCAGACAGGTGAACAGGGCAAAAAGACCCCTGGAAGGGAAGGAGCTCCTCTCAGCCTTCCCATCCCTCTCCTACCTCTCCCCTTGGGCTGCAGGCTGCCTCCCACTCCACACCAGCACGCTGCCTTTCCCTGTGGTTTCCCATCTCCCCTGCGATCGCTCCCTACATCACAAACTCTCCCCACCCTGGGTTTCCCAGAACTTCTTCCTATTGTGCTCTGTCTTTGTCTTGTCCAGCCCCTGTAGGAACAGGGCAACCTGCCAAGACGGCCCTCAGGGGCCCCGCTGCCTCTGCCCACCTGGCTACACAGGAGGCAGCTGCCAGGTGAGGGGTGTTGAGCCAGCTGTGCTATAGAGGGGGGGAAGCTGGAGATCTCTAGTGAGAGGGGTCTCGGGAACCAAAAGGTGGGCAGCAGGAAGCTTGGAAGAAGTCTCAGCAGGGAGGGAATTATGGCGTCTAGGAGTTGGGGGTCTAGCTTGAGGTGTGTGTGGAGTGAAGAAGGAAGGACTGAACAGATTTCCAATCCCAGGAACTACTCTGGGAAGGAAATTAGGGAGGGTCACCCGGTCCCATAGCATGCAGGAGAGAGTTTTAGAGGTAAGGGATTTTGAGCTGCTGGAGTTGGCAGAAAACCACTCTGGGACCAGGAACCTAACGATCTCTCCCACCTCATGCTCAGATTTTGCTGGACTTATGTGCCCAGAAGCCCTGTCCACACACTTCCCGCTGCCTCCAGACCGGGCCCTCTTTCCAATGCCTGTGCCTCCAGGGATGGACTGGGCCTCTCTGCAACCTCCCACTGTCCCCCTGCCAGGAGGCTGCGCTGAGCCAAGGTACCAACCCAAGCTCTGGAGAGAAGATGAAGGGAAAAGGGTGTTCTCCTCCTCCCAACCCCTAAGGACATCCACACAGCCTTTGGCCAAAGCAACTGAGAGTCAAAGCCACACAGACCAACCTATCATTAATTCTACAGTTCAGCATCCAAGAGAACATAACACAAGTCAACTCCTGCCACCACTTTCAACACAACTCAAGCAGCACCAACCAGCCCAGACAATGATTCTGAAGTATAACACAACCACCAGGGACATAGCTCACTGCGGAGCAACTCAATACTGTCCTGATCACTATAACTCAACCAGAATGGACCACACTCCACCCCCCTGCACTCAACACATTTCACCCACCCCATTTACCTTAATGTAACACCAAACCCCTGGTAAAATAATATCTCCTTATCCAAACAAGGTTTTATGAAAACAGCTCAGGAAAGAGACTATTGTGGGGTTAGAGGATGGTTGATGGGAATCACATTGACAGAACATCAAAGAGGGTGCAAAATTCAGGGGACGAACTTAAGCCACATTTCCAAACCTGAAGTGTTCCTTGTATTCTTTCTTGCTTAAGACTTGTTATAAGCCAAGAAAACTGTTGCTTAACACTCTAATAAGCTTGAGAATTATCATGCCCATATTCTGGCAGAAAAGGTGGGAGGGGAAACTTGATGTATTATCTTCTGCAGTATCAGGAGTCATTAACTCCTTAGGCTCAGAGTGGCCTCCACCCAGGAACATTAAGTGGCCCCTGAGGTAAAGGCTTCTGTGCTCAGGGTCTGGGGTCCCTGAACACTCTTCCACCCCACCATTCATCTCTCTCCCTAGGCATAGAGGTCTCTTCCCTTTGCCAGAATGGAGGCCTCTGCATTGACAGCGGCCCCTCCTATTTCTGCCACTGCCCTCCTGGATTCCAAGGCAGCTCATGCCAGGATAAAGTGAACCCGTGTGAGTCCAGGCCTTGCCAGCATGGGGCCACCTGTGTGGCCCAACCCAATGGGTATCTCTGCCAGGTAAGAGTCTAGAGGAGGGGGGAAGGGAGAAGAGTGTGGGCTGGATGTGGGAGACAGCAGTGCTGGAGGGGAAACCCAGTATACCCTTTTTCTCTTTCCCTTCATTTACCCAATACTTGTAGCTAACCACCTCCTGAATATTTCTCAACTCTGTCCTTTCCCCTTCACCCTTTGCTCCACTGCCTTAGTCCACACCCTGGTTGCATTCATCCTAGATACCAGCATCAGCCTCCTATCCAGAGTCCCTGCCTCCACACTTGTCCTTCCTACAGGTTCAACCTTTACCCCACTGCCACGACACTCTGCTGAAAATGTTAATCTGACCTGTCACTCCCTTGCTAAACACCCTTCAGTGGCTGCCCACTTCTTTCAGAATAAAGTCCAAGGCCCTGAATGACCCACCCCTGCCTGCCTCTCAGACCTCATCTCCCCCCACCTACCTTTTCCTACTCTCCACTCTAGCAACACAAAACTGCTGCTGACTTTCCTGCCATCTCATACTGATTCCTGCCTCTCAGTCTTTATCCCTGCTGCTGCCACCGCCTAGAATGGCCTTCCCAAACACTCTTCCAGGAGATGTCCCTAATTTCCCTCCAGGATGAATTAAGGCCTTTCCTTGTGCTCCAGCTCACTTAGCCAGGAGAGGCAAAGCTGGCATTCAAGTCTGAGCATCTTGATTCCTGCTCAAAAGCACAATTCTTTAGTGGTTGCCATTTTCTTTTCCTATTATTTTTTTTTTTAAAGACTAAGTCTCACTTTATTGCCCTCGGTAGTGCCATAGCGTCACAGCTCACGCAACCTCCAACTCCTGGACTTAGGCAATTCTCTTGCCTCAGCCTCCCTAGTAGCTGGGACTACAGGCGCCGCCACAATGCATGGCTATTTTTTTGTTGCAATTTGGCCGGGGCAAGTTCGAACCCACCACCCTTGGTATATGGGGCCAGCGCCCTACCCACTGAGCCACAGGTGCCATCCATTTGCCCATTTTTTAAATTGAATTATTTGGGAATTTTTTTGTTATTGAGTTGAGTTCCTTTTATATTCTGTGTATTAATATTTTCTTGGATTAATAGCTTATAAATATTGTCTCTCACTCTGTAGGCTGTCTCTTCACTATTGTTTCCTTTCCTGGCAGATTTTTAGCTTGATATAAAGTTAAATTCAAGCTTGATATAAAGCAAAAATCAATTTTTTCTTTTGTTGCCTATGCTTTTGAGGTCTTACCCCAAAAAAGTCTTTGGCCAGACCAATCTCCTGAGGATTTCCCCCAATGTTTTCTTCTAGTAATTTCTTAGTTTCAAGTCTCACATTTAAATCTTTTCCATTTTGAGTTGATTTTATGATTTTTTTTAAAGACAGAGTAACACTTAGTTGCCTAGGCTAGAGTGCCATAGCCTCAGCCCATCTCACATCAACCTCAAAGCCATAGTTTAAAGCAATCCTCCTGCTTCAGCCTCCCAAGTAGTTGAGGCTACAGGTGTTTGCCACAATGCCCAGCTAATTTTTCTATTTTTTTTAGAGACAGGGTCTTGCTCTTGCTCAGGCTGGTCTCGTAACTCCTAAGCTCAAGGGATCTTCCTACTTCAGCCTCCCAGAGTAGTAGGATTACAGGTGTGAGAGCACATCTTGCCAAGTTGATTTTTCTATATGGTGACAGATAGGGGTCTAGTTTCATTCTTCTTCATGTAGGTATCTAATTTTCCCAGCACCATTTATTTATGAGACTGTCCATTCCCCAGTGCATGTTCTCAGTGCCTTTGTCAGAAATGAGTTGGTGGGAAATGCGCAGGTTCTCTGGTCTGTTCTTTTAGTCTATTTTTCAAGCCTGCATCATGCCTGTATCTTTGTATTATATTTTGAAGTCAGATATTGTGATGCCGCCAGCTTTGTTAGTTTTGGTCAGGAATTTAGGTCTTCTGCAGTTGCATATGAATCTTATGATTGTTTTTTCTATTTCTGTGAAGAATATCATTGGTATTTTGATAAGAATTGCACGGAATCTGCAGATCATTTGAGGTAGTATAGACATTTTAACAATATTAATTCTTCAGTCAAAAGCATAGGATATCTTCCAATTTCTTATGTGCCCTTTTGATTTCTTTCATCAATGTTTCATAGTTTTTATTTTAGAGCTCTTTCACTCCTTTGGTTAAATTTTTTCCTTGGCATTTTATTTTATTTTTGTATCTTTTTTTTTTTTTTTTTTTTTTTGAGACAGAGCCTCAAGCTTTTACCCTGGGTAGAGTGCCGTGGCATCAAAGCTCACAGCAACCTCCAACTCCTGGGCTCAAGCAATTCTCCTGCCTCCATCTCCCAAGTAGCTGGGACTACAGGCGCCTGCCACATGCCTGGCTGTTTTTTTGGTTGCAGCCATCATTGTTGTTTGGCGGGTCCAGGCTGGATTCAAACCCACCATCTCAGGTGTATGTGGCTGGCGCCTTAGCCGCTTGAGCCACAGGCGCTGAGCCTTTGTATGTATTTTAAATGGAATTGCTTTCTTGATCTCCTTTTCAGATTGCTTACTGTTGGTGTATAGAAATGCCACTAATTTTTGTATATTGATTTTGTATCCTGCAACTTTACTGAATTTGTTTTTTGGTGGAGTCTTTATGTTTTTCTAAATATATAATCATGTCAAACAAGGGTAATTTGACTTCTTTGACTTCTTTCTTTCTAATTCAAATGCCTTTTTTTCTTTCTCTTACCTAATTGCTCTGTCTAGGACTTCTAGTACTGTGTTAAAGAAAAATGGCAAAAGTGAACAACTCATCTTAGAGGAAAAGCTTGCCATTTTCTCCCATTCAGCATGATGTTAGCTGTGAGTTCATCATACATGGTATCTTTGAGTTATAGAACCACAACTATTGATAGAAGGCTCAAAGGAGATTCTGTAACCCACCCTCTTTCTTTCACTTTTCAATTTTATTTTTTAATCTTTTATTCTGAATATTTTCAGACATATACCAAAGCAGTATACTGATCAGTAATGAACCTCTGTGCACCCATGACTCAGTTTTACTTCCTCTTTCATGAAACTCCCTCCCTCCTCCTGAGGTCTCCAAAACATTCCCCTCACCTGCTAATTTTCAGCTCTCTGGCCACACCTCAGATTCTTTGATAATTCATTTTCTCTACCTCTTTGAATCCTACCTGGTTCTCCACTCTTGCATGCTCTCCTTCCTCTTGCAAGAACCTAGCACATGATACAGACCTTGTCAACGACCCTTCTCTCACTGGCAGACTGGCATGAAGCAATCAGAAAATGCTTCAGAGCATTTGTTATGGAGTCATAGATTGCCCTGCATCCCTACTCTGCCACCTATAGCTATGTGTCTTGTGCAAGTCACTTAACCATTCAGAGACTGATTTCTTATCTGTAAAGTGAGAATCATGGCTCAGCACCTGTGGCTCAAGTAGCTAAGGCGCCAGCCACATACACCTGAGCTGGGAGGTTTGAATCCAGCCCAGGCCCGCCAAACAACAATGATGGCTGCGACCAAAAAACAGCCAGGTGTTGTGGCAGGTGCCTGTAGTCCCAGCTACTTGGGAGGCAGAGGCAGGAGACTCACTTGAGCCCAGCCAGGAGTTAGAGGTTGCTGAGAGCTGTGATGCCATGGCACGCTGCCCAGGGTGATAGCTTGAGGCTCTGTCTCAAAAAAAGAAAAGAGAGAATCAAATGAGATAATCTATACAAAGGGTTGTTAGGAGAGTTTAATAAGGTTATGCATATAAATTATGCAATAAATGCTAGCCATCTCTCTCTCCTCTTGTTGATTCAAAGCATGAAAACAGGAATGACTGCTAATTTGCTTTGTATACCTAATTCCTAAAATGGTCCCTGGAACAAAATAGGCATTCAAGAGATGCTTATGAATTAACTGGCAAAGCAGGAGACAGTATGGTGGGTTTTTGTTGGGGGAGGGAAGTCACCAAAAATAGGGCTATATTTGGTGGCAATGTGTCACAGGGATTGTTTGGGACTAGGGAAGGTTAAGTTGTGTCTTATTGAACAATTACGTGTAATGTGGAGTTGAGATAGCAGAGTTAAGCAATGTGCAGCCATGTGGATGGCGAGTTGAGTGATGCTGGTAAGCTAGAAGGTGGGCTGGGCAGACTATCTTAAGCTGGGTCCCTTGTAGGGCTGAGCTAGGTTCATCCACTGGTTTCCTGTCTGGCCCTCTTTGACTGCAGTGCACCCCAGGCTATAGTGGACAGAACTGCTCAAAGGAACCTGATGCTTGTCAGTCCCAACCCTGTCACAACCAGGGAACCTGCACCCCCAAATCTGGAGGCTTTCATTGTGCCTGCCCTCCTGGCTTTGTGGGGCTACGCTGTGAGGGGGATGTGGACGAGTGTCTGGACCAGCCCTGCCACCCCACAGGCACTGCAGCCTGCCACTCACTAGCCAACGCCTTCTACTGCCAGTGTCTGCCTGGACACACAGGTAAGGCCTGGACACAGACTTCTCTCGGGCACAGCTGAGAAGACCATGGAGACCTAGATAGTTCCCACCTTGCGGCAACCTCATTATCTTGTGCATCTCCTGCCTCTACACGCTGCCCTAGAGAAAATACCCCAGGATCCCTTGCCTAGATGAGTAACTGGGCCAGCTCCCAGGAATGAGCTATGGGGAGGCAGTGACTGAAGCAGTGTGTGATGTCTGATCTCACCTCCACCACAGGCCAGAGGTGTGAGGTGGAGGTAGATCCCTGCCAGAGCCAGCCCTGCTTTCATGGAGGGTCCTGTGAGGCCATACCAGGACCACCCCCAGGTTTCACTTGCCACTGCCCCAAGGTAAGTGACCACAAAGCTGCCCTCTCTATTGCCCCTTACACTGACAAAAAGCAAAGTGCTGAGTCAAAATCCTAGAGGGGAGTGTGGCGGAGCACTGCAGTGGGAATTATAAGAAAAGCTATCCCAAGTTCACAGTGGTGAGCGTCTCTCAGAAGCAGTCCAGAGAAAGGCAAGATCAGTTGGTAGCATGAATGGAATTTCCAGAAATCACAGGTCTTCAGGGTCAAGCTGGATGGTTAAATTGATGCTCTCTAGGGTGTATTTTATTTTATTTTATTTTTGAGACAGAGTCTCACTGTGTCGCCCTCAGTAGAGTGCTGTGGCATCACAGATCACAGCAACCTCAAACTCTTGGGCTTAAGTGATTCTCTTGCCTCAGCTTCCAAAGTAGCTGGGACTACAGGTGCCCACTACAATGCCTATCTATTTTTTGTGCAGTTGTCATTGTTGTTTTAGCTGGCTCAGGCCAGGTTCAAACCCTCCAGCCTCAATTATGTGGCCAGGCCAGGTTCAAACCCTCCAGCCTCAATTATGTGGCCAGCACCATAACCACTATGCTATGGGCATTGAGCCATCTGAGGAGCCTTTTAAATATGAGAATCTAGGACCCTTTTGTGCTATCTTAACACAGGAATTTTCTTGAGAGATAGCGAGAAGAATAATGCAAATTCCTTCTAAAGTATCTCCCCTCCTCTCCACAGGGTTTTGAAGGCCCCACCTGCAGCCACAGAGCCCCTTCCTGTGGCCTCCATCACTGCCACCACGGAGGCTTGTGTCTACCCTCCCCTAAGCCAGGCTTCCTACCACAATGTGCTTGCCTCAGTGGTTATAGGGGCCCTGACTGCCTCACCCCACCAGCTCCTCGAGGCTGTGGACCTCCATCCCCGTGCCTACACAATGGCAGCTGCTCAGAGACCCCTGGGTGGACAGGCCCAGGCTTTCGATGCTCCTGTCCTCCCAACTCCCCAGGGCCCCAGTGTCAGAGATCTGGAGAAAAGGGGTGTGAGGGCAGAGGTGGAGATGGGGCCTGCGATGATGGCTGCAGTGGCCCAGGAGGAAATTGGGATGGAGGAGACTGCTCTCTGGGGATCCCAGATCCCTGGAAGGGCTGTCCCTCCCACTCTCAGTGCTGGCTTCTCTTCCGGGATGGGCAATGCCATCCACAGTGTGACTCTGAAGAGTGTTTGTTTGATGGCTACGACTGTGAGACCCCTCCAGTCTGCACGTGAGCCTGAAATCCACTGGAGCTAGGAAAGGAGGGAGACGGGTGAGGGGAAGGACATAGACACCTCTGAATTACAATGTGGCCACAGCCTCAGGATCCAGGGGGTTTCAACTCTAACAACATTGCTCTATAAGGTAGAAGAGCCAGGGTGATGGATGGTGGGAACTGAGGCCTCAAGCCTCCCTCCCTAAGCCCTGTTGCCATGGAGTATCTCACCTAGCAACTAGAACCCCACAGAGGGAAAAGGGCCTTGGACTCTCCTTCAGGAAAACAGGAGAACTTGGGAAGGGAGAGAGAGAGGATGGTCTTAGGAGATGAGGGTGTCAATAGTCATAGGGTGTCTAGACTACCATTCAGGGCTCAACTAAGCCCATTGCTTCACAGCCACCTCTATGTAGCAACCAAAGCCTCAGGGGCCATAGAATGTCAGGAATTCTCTCTGGGGTGAAGAGGGAAACCAGTTTGGGGACAGTCCTGAATCCCTCTCTCCTCATCCCACAGTCCAGCCTATGACCAGTACTGCCGCGATCACTTCCACAACGGGCACTGTGAGAAAGGCTGCAACACTGCAGAATGTGGCTGGGATGGAGGTGACTGCAGGCCTGAAGATGGGGATTCGGAGTGGGGGCCCTCCCTGGCCCTGCTGGTGGTGCTGAGCCCCCCAGCCCTGGACAAACAGTTGCTTGCCCTTGCTCGGGTGCTATCCCTGACTCTGAGGGTGGGGCTCTGGGTGAGGAAGGACAGTGATGGCAGGGACATGGTGTACCCCTATCCTGGGGCCCGGGCTGAAGAGGAGCTAGGAGGAACTCTGGACCCCTCTCATCAGGAGAGAGCAGCCCCTCAAACACAGTCCCCAGACAAGGAGACAGACTCCCTCAGTGCTGGGTAAGAAGCTGAACAGAGGGGAGGGCCTGACTCTAGTTTTATTAGAAGGGCAGAGGGAAGGAAGGTACCCAAGAACCAACACAGAGGTCTCTGAGGTGCCTCCCGTACAGGTTTGTAGTGGTGATGGGTGTGGATTTGTCCCACTGTGACCCTGACCACTCAGGATCCCGCTGTCCCTGGGACCCTGGTCTCCTGCTCCGCTTCCTTGCCGCAATGACTGCAGTGGGGGCCCTGGAGCCCCTATTACCTGGACCCCTGCTGGCTGCCCACCCTCATGCAGGCACTGGTAGGTAACCCTCTGCCATGACCCCTGACCTTTGCTCCCAGGTCAGCTCTGATACCAGCAATAGGCAACAGAGGTGGAATAAAACAAGATAGTTGAGATCCAAAATGTTCTTGTGGGGACTTACTCTCTAACTGGATCTTCACTTTACTGAAGTCTTCTTTTCTATTTCCCTAAATACTTTATCCTAAGCTCTGTCAGAGCCCTCCAACATACCTCAGGTTCTGATTTATCTTCTCTACTAGATCAAGAGTATCTAATGGTCTCTGTATCAAATAATTCATAATACACAAAAAGGCAGTAACTGTAATATTGTACACACTCTGTGCCTTAGCACTTTATTATCTCACTTAACAGTATTATCCCAACAACCCTATAAGGTAGGTAGTACAGGTTGAACATCCTTTATTCTAAATGCTTGGGACCACAAGGTTTTCAAATTTCTTATTTTTTCAGACTTTGAAAAATTTACCTTAGAAATCTGAACTCCTAAATTCTCCAGTAAGCATTTCCTTTGAGCATCATGTCATTGCTCAAAAAGTATAAGATTTGGGAGCATTTCAGATTTCAAATATTTTGATTAGGTATCCTCAACGTGTATTATTATCTGCACTTTATAGAAGGAAACTGAAGCAGAGAGAGGTTACTCAAATTGCCCAAAGATCTTGCAGTAGTAATCAGTCTCACAAGGAATGGCCTCTCTTTGTGACTCTGTCTCTCCCACCAGCACCCCCTGCCAACCAGCTTCCCTGGCCTGTGCTGGGCTCCCCAGTAGCCGGGGTGATTCTCCTGGCCCTCGGGGCTCTTCTCGTCCTCCAGCTCATCCGGCGACGTAGGAGAGAACATGGGGCCCTCTGGCTGCCCCCTGGTTTCACTCGAAGGCCTCAGAGTCAGCCAGCTCCCCGCCGACGCCGGCCCCCACTGGGCGAGGACAGCATCGGCCTCAAGTGAGAGTGAGGAGGAACCTGGGCTTAAGGAGGGAGCTTTCCTACCTACATATTTATGATCAGAAGCGATAACACTATTGCAGAAGTCAAAGATAGGGGAAGGAAAGGGGTAGGAAGTCTGCTGGAAATCTTGCAGACTCTGATGCTCATAACTCCTTATAACTTATATCCACTCAAAACCCTTCCAGGACGCTAAAGCCAGAGGCCGAAGTCGATGAGGATGGAGTTGTAATGTGCGCAGGCCCTGAGGAGGGAGAAGAGGTGGGCCGGGTGAAAAGGATAGGGGAAAATGGTCTAAAGGTGATGGAGGGGATCAAAGGACAAATGAACCACCCTCACTGATCCCTGCTTTTACCCCAAGGCTGAAGAAACAGCCTCACCATCCAAGCTCTGGCCTCTGAGTGGTAACTGTGGGGAGCTCCCTCAGGCAGCCATGCTGACTCCCCCCCAGGAATCCGAGACGGAGGCCCCCGACCTGGACACCCGTGGACCTGGTACATAAGTCAACCCAGACCAAGAAAACGGAAAAAATTTCTTTTGACCTTTTTAGAATCAGAAAGTCCTTTAATATCAGAACCTAGAGGTTAACAACAGTGATTCTCAAAGAATAGTACTTAGACAAGAATCAGTATTGTGGATAACTTGTTAGAAATGCAAATTCTTGAGCTCCACTGTTGAGCTCCTAATTCAGAAATTCAAGATGTTAAGCAATTTGGATTTTAACAAGCCCTCAAGCCCTCCTTGTTAGAGAACTAAGGCCTGTTGGCTCCTTTTACAGATGAAGAAATTGAAGCTTAGAGAAAAGTCACTTTACTAAAGTCACAAAAAGTCATGGGCTGAAACTTAGCTTCCTGACATCTCAGGCTTTGACTCTCCCCTAGCCCCCATGTTCTCCCCTCTTCCATTGTTGTGCCTTTTGATTAACCCATTACTCATGTCTCACCCACAGATGGAGTAACACCCCTGATGTCAGCAGTCTGCTGTGGGGAAGTGGAGTCCAGGACCTTCCATGGAGCATGGTTAGGAAGTCCTGAGCCCTGGGAACCTCTGCTGGATGAAGGGGCCTGTCCCCAGGTTCACACTGTGGGCACTGGTGAGACCCCCCTGCACCTGGCTGCACGATTTTCCCGGCCAAATGCTGCTCGCCGCCTTCTTGAAGCTGGAGCAAATCCCAACCAGCCAGACCAGGCAGGGCGTACCCCCCTTCACACAGCTGTGGCTGCTGATGCTCGGGAGGTCTGCCAGGTCAGCACACAAAGATCCCTGAAGGGAATGGGGGAAGAGTTTACAAGTAAAGTTGTGCAGAAGCATCCCCTAACCTTTGACAAAGAGGATACTGATTTGATTGGGGACCTGAAAGGGAACAAATGGAAGGTAGTTGAACATGGATTGGGAGGAGTTGAAAGTGTGAGAGGCCTGAGGTAGCAGTCCAGGGTACCCCAGGAGTCACAGGCTCTCTGTGTCAGCTTCTACTCCGCAGCAGACAAACTGCAGTTGACGCACGCACAGAGGATGGAACTACACCCTTGATGCTGGCTGCTAGACTGGCGGTGGAAGACCTGGTTGAAGAACTCATTGCAGCCCGAGCAGACGTGGGGGCCAGAGATAAATGGGGTATGGGGGGGAAGGGGATGTGAAGTAGATGGGGTGTGAGATGACGCGCAAAATACCGTAGAGGGGAGGCAGAGAGATCCACCGGAGGGGCATCCCCTCCACACTTCTGTTATGGTGGTAAATCTGTGGTGCGGAATGTGTTGAGTTTTCACCACCATCCTAAACAAAACACATGGACTCTTCCCCAGCCCACGAGGAACTGGAATAGAGGAGAGTGTCTGTGGGATGAGAGGTCTCGTGGTGGGAGGTGGTCTCTGGTCCATCGACCCCAGAACAATGCCCCATTGTCCCTCCAGTGCGCCGGTGACGTCACTGGGGCAAGGCTTCCTGCCGGCCGGCGGTTGCCATGGCAACGCTTCCTCGTTTCCCCCCCCCCCCCTTAGAGGGAACAGTGGGCCGGAGTAGCCCTTCCCCCCAAGGCCAGGACCCGTGAGAAACCGGAACCCAGGCGTCTGGCCCCAACCGCAATAATAACCTCTCACTTTGTCACCCAGGAAAAACTGCTTTGCACTGGGCTGCTGCCGTGAACAACGCCCGAGCCGCCCGCTCTCTTCTCCAGGCTGGATCCGATAAAAACGCCCAGGACAGCAGGGTTAGAACGAGCTGCGGGTTCCAGACAAAAATTTGGGCGCGAGAGAGGTGGAAAGTGAGGGAGCCCCTGAAAGGGGAGAGGCCAGAGATCAGGTAGATGACATCAGAAAAGGCCAGTCCTGTGGGTGCGGCCTTCTCTGACCTCGCCCCCGGGCTATTTCCTCCCGTACAGGAGCAGACGCCGCTATTCCTGGCGGCCCGGGAAGGAGCGGTAGAGGTAGCTCAACTGCTGCTAGACCTAGGGGCGGCCCGAGAGCTGCGGGACCAGGCTGGGCTAGCGCCCGGGGACATCGCCCGCCAGCGGAACCACTGGGATCTGCTGACGCTGCTGGAAGGGACGGGGCCATCGGTGGCCAGTCATAAAGCCACTACCAGCCGCGAGGCTGAAGCTGTGCCGCGTGCACGGACCGCGTCAGGAAGCGTGCCCCCACATGGGGGCGGGGCTCTGCCGCGCTGCCGGACACTGTCAGCTGGGACCGGCCCGCGCGGGGGTGGAGCTTGTTTGCAAGCTCGGACTAAGTCAGTAGACTTAGCCACGCGTGGGGGTATGGCCTATTCGCATTGCCGGAGCCTATCGAGAGGAGGAGCAGGAGGCGGCCCGCCCCCTCGTGGCCGTAGGTTTTCTACGAGCATGCGCGGGCCTAGACCGAGTCCGGCGACAGCGCGAGGATCCAGAATAGCTGCGGGGCGAGGAGGCAGGGCCTCGGCGGACGACTGGCCCTGCGATTGGGTGTCCTTGGGAACCTGCGGCCCCACCTCCAGCTTGCCTATCCCTCCTCCTTGCCTTACGCCGTCCCCGGAACATGGGTCTCCTCAAGTTGTGTGGGGTTCCGCATACTACCAAGAAATACCTTTAAACCTGGAAGAGAAAGGTCAAAAATAGAAGGCTACACTGGAGAGAGCGCGAACTCCAAAATGATTGCCTTTAAATGACAAGCATTCCGGAAAGCCCACCAGCTTTTAATATGGATCCCCAAAAGTGAGGCGTCACGAGTTTTAGTTTCCTTCCTAAAGTAAGTGTATGCACACCCCAGCAGGCATCATCTTCCACACGGAGAAGGTGCAGTTTTGGAAAGAGTTAGGATAGGGGAGGTCCAGTTCCTCTCTCAGAAAGTAAAAGATTACAGGAGGACAGAGTGTGGAGTGGGAGAAGTACCCCTAAACTGGAACCAAGGACTGCAGGCAGATAGGATCTAAGACGTTTTCCTGTACACATTCCCCAAAGAGAGCCTCTATCAGATATTTATTGAGGACCTAGGACAATGTGCCCAGGTACTGTGTAGATGCCGAAATGTGGAGAGGAATTCTGAAGAGCAAAACCCCCGCCTTACGCTGATAACTCCTTGCATTCCCTCTGACATCCCTCCCACAAAGAAACTTCACTGCAGGGACGAAGTGCCTCTCTTCTGGCCACTGCTATGTCTATTTAAGAACCCCAAATCTGTCAATCATAATAAAGCTGATTCGAAATGTCATTTGTTTTTGGAAGGGTTGGGGAGAGGAATGGGAAAAAACACTATGACTGTACAGTGTTGTCAAGAACCTTGTGCCCTAGGCACATATGGATGCAGGCTACAAGTATAGATTAAGAGCAAAAATAAGCAGATTTGGGGATCCCATGTCGATTTAAGGTATCATCTAAATGCAGGAGTCTCTGGTAGCCCAGGGAGAACCTACATTACACGCTAGAAGTAGGTGCTATTAAAACCCTACTGTACTCTTTCAGAAACTGAGACACAGATTTTATTTGCCCAACACTGAAGAGCATTAAGTGACAGGACCAAATCTTCATTACTTTTCTTGCTCCAAGTTAATCAGCTGAAACGCCCCTAACATGGCAGGTTGTTATTTAGAGTCCCAATGACTGTCTCGCTCCCTCCTTGGTGCCAGGCTGACTAGTGTTGATCAAAGTCAGAATGGTGGTACTCTCCCTTTTCCATTTCTGTATCCCTCATTTATGACCAAGGTAAAGTTTCCCCTGACCCTAGTCTGCACTAATCTATGAGTTGTCAAAGTGAACCTGGGCCTGTTCTCCAGTATTCAAGAGAACAAGATGTGTCTCTCTGCATATCTTGTCCCCTGAAAAAGCTGTAAATACCTAGAGGACAGAGACAATTATTTGACACATATTTATTGAATACTTACTGTGCATTGGACCCATTGCTAAGAGCATATGTATAAATTTGAGAGCTTGACATCCCATAGTCTTTGAGTCCTCTGTTTCCTGCTGGAACCATGCCTTTCCCAGTCCCAGTAAGTCTGAGGGAAGATGAGAGCCAAATCCCATATCAGGGTCTGTCTTACAGAGGGAAGGGACCTGGTTGGGGGAAGGGGGATTCTGAGGAGTGAAACCACTTCCTGTGTAGCTAGTTAGTTCCGGTGTTGACAGAAAGAAGGGGAGGCAGGGGTGGAGGGCGCAGAGCCAAGGACTGGGGGGCGACTTAGGCCCTAGAGATGAGAGAAGGCCTTTTCCTCACCATAAGCCCCCTCCACTCATGCAGCTGGAACAGTCTTCCCAAGTCTCTGTGGGGGCAAGAAAGCTCTAAAGAGCTGTTTGGGTGGGAAAAGAGGATGGAGGAAGTTGACATGGATGGGCGGGGCCCGTGGGGGGGCTGACCAGGAACCCAGCTTCCTGCTCAGTACCCAGACATCCAGCCCCCAGCTTACCCCCACCCCTTCCAGCCCTTACTCCCCTCAGAAACCTGTTCCAGCCCTCTTCCCAAATCCCAGCACCCCTCCCCCCTCAGTTTCTCCCCTCCAGGGGATGGAGGCCGGGAGACCCCAAGAAGAAGAGGATGGTGAGCAGGTGAGCTGGGCACCGGGTGGGGAAGGCTGACCCTGGGAAAGAAGGGAGGTGAGAGGACCTGGGGCAGAGACCTACTGACACAGGTGGACACAAGGGACTTGCAGAGGCTTGGGCACATTGAGGCAGGAACAAAGACAGAGAAAGGAAATGGGCCACTGGCCTAACCCCCTGTCCACCCCACCCCCTTCAACCACCACCGCTTGACTGGAATGGACTTTTTGCATCAGGGCTCCCCTCAGGATGAGCAAGGCTGGCCCCCTCCAAACTCCACCACTCGTCCTTGGCGATCTGCTCCTCCATCTCCTCCCCCTCCGGGGACCCGACACACAGGTACCCCAACCCACCCAGGAAGCTCCCCAACCCTGGTGCCCACATCCTGACCCCATTACCAAGGCCCACTGCATCATGGACCCTGTCCCCACCTTCTCCAGACTCCCCATGGTTCTCCCCATTGTACCCCTTTGGCTCTGATTCAGAGCCCTCAGTCACCTCATCTGTCCCCAAACCCCATGACTCCCGTCCACCAACTTCTCTGAGCTCTGTCCCCTCCTCTTCTCAGCCCTGGGCCCCCGCTCGGCCTCCCTGCTCTCCCTGCAGACTGAGCTCCTTCTAGACCTGGTGGCTGAGGCCCAGTCCCGCCGCCTAGAGGAGCAGAGGGCCTCTTTCCATGCCCCACAGAGCCCCCCAAGCCTAGCCCCTGCCCCTCTCCGGCCTCTTGAGGACAAAGAACAGCTCTACAGTACCATTCTTAGTCACCAGGTGAGACACCCCCAGGAGGCACTACCCAGGCCTCCTGGTCTCTTGGTCTCTGTTCTCTTTTGGGCCCTACTCCTCTTTCTCACTAAGCATCTACTCCATCGCCAGCCCCTAGTCACTCTATCCCCATTACAGCTTTCCTATATGCCCCCAATACCAACTCTGGTTCCTCTTAAGGGTCTCCTCCCCTCAGACCCTCACCAAAGCTCTCCCTCTCCCTCCACTCCTCCAGTGCCAGCGGATGGAAACCCAGCGGTCAGAGCCTCCCCTCCCCCCAGGGGGCCAGGAGCTCCTGGAGTTGCTGTTGAAAGTTCAGGGTGGGGGTCGAATGGAGGAGCAAAGATCTCGGCCCCCCACACACATCTGCTAAGACTTGAGCCCCCAACCAGCCCCTTCTCACTCCTGGAGTTCAAAGCTGGGCAGCCCACTGCACGCCCTGAACCCTTCTTTGGCAGGGGTACTGGAGACTGGAAAACACAGCAGAAAGTTCAGTATCTATCACCCTCTGCACCCTCCCTGAGAACTGGAGGGGGTGAAAGTGCTCGAACTCTAGGAATAAATAAAGCACCTAATACATGGGCACTTGAGGCAGTAAGAGGATCCGTGGCACCCATCTCAGGGAGTGGCTAGGAGTCCCTGTCCTGAACTGTGAGGACACCAGCGGTAGTCAGGTTACCAGGCAAGGTCTGAGGACTCAGGCCTTCACCTCCCAAGAAAAGGCAAGTCTCCCAAGGTTATGACCTGATTCAGAAACAGCTGTCAGTAAGAAGAAAGAGAAGATGGGGGGCACAGCCAAGAAAGATTAAGACTATTCTCCCCCTCCTACTCTAACCGACCCAACCTCCTATTCCCTACACGGAGGGCCCTACAGGCTGTGAATGACCTTTAATCCTGCCCATTGTCCCTCTCCACTGCTGCTCTGAGTCTGTCTGATATTTTGGTAGTATGAATAAATGTAATTCGCCTCTGGACTGAAGACTGGTATCTGGGAGGGAGGGAGGCACCGGGCAAAGATGTTGGTTAGGAAGGTGAGGCCAGGAGCCGCCTCTCTCCTCAGTCTGGCCAGAGGCCAGCTCCCCTCCCTGGCTGGTTAATTAGTGGCTCATTAAGCAGCGGCTGGAGACCTCCCTAATCATCTCCCCCAGCCCCCCTCTCCTGGATTTAATTAAGTAGACAGGGAGGGGAGTCATTAGAACAAGAAATATGAACTGAGCTGTCTGTGAACCCAGGCATTCCAGCGGCCGGAGTCTACATCACCTAGATCCCTAATTCGGAACCTAGTGGCAGGCCGCCTCGCCTTCAACACGCCCCCATCCAGGCCACCGAAGTCCAGCCGGGGCCTTCCCAGATTTTCCCCAACGGGCCAGTCTCCTCCCCTTGTCCGCTCTTCACTCTCCCCTCCTCCATTCGGTCGTTCCTGTGTTTCTGTATCTCTCTCCGCCCCCAGCTCCTCCCCGTTCCTCCTCTCTTCTCCCCTCCTCTTCCTCCTCGTCTCCCCTCCCCCAGCCTCCCTCCCTCGCTTTCCCCCCCCCTTCTCCCTCCTCCCTCCTCCCTCTCTCTCACACACACCCCCGCTTGGGCCTCTTCTCTCTCTCCGGCTCCATTTTCTCCGCCGCCGGGGGCCGGGGTCTCCTGTGGGGGGCCCAGCTGGTACCCCACGTCTCCCTTCAGTGCCGGGGTGAACCCCGGGGGAGCTGGGAGGGGTAAAGACGGGCGGGGGTTGGGGCGGAGGGAGCAGCGGCCCCAGCGAGTTTGCGGGGGGAAGTAACCAGGCGGGGGGAGGGGCGGAGCAGGGAGGGGGCCTCAGGGCCCCCCCCAGCTATGGACGAGCGGCTACTGGGGCCGCCCCCTCCAGGCGGGGGCCGGGGGGGCCTGGGATTGGTGGGTGGGGAGCCTGGGGGCCCTGGCGAGCCTCCCGGTGGCGGAGACCCCGGTGGGGGTAGCGGGGGGGTCCCGGGAGGCCGAGGGAAGCAAGACATCGGGGACATTCTGCAGCAGATAATGACCATCACCGACCAGAGCCTGGACGAGGCCCAGGCCAAGTGAGTGCCCCCACCCTGGGACCCCACACAGACCCAGCAAATCCCGTTCACAAGCTCTGAATCTTCTGGGAGCCCCCCCTCCCCAACTCCAGGGCCCTCTCCAGGATCCAGCAGCTCTCTTCTTTCCTTACTCCTGGGAGCCGCTAGAAAAGTGATCCCTCAAACCTCTCTTGATTCCTAGGCCCTGAAATCTTAACAGAGGGAACCCCATGTGTCCCCACACCCGCTCCTAACCTTTTGCTGACCCCTGCATTCCTGGGAAACAGCCCCATCTCCGGAGCCCCCTTCTGGCTCCTGGACTAAGAAACTGTTCTTAAGCTATGTCATCTTCTTCCCTAACTCTCTACCCAGCCCACCCACTTCTCTCCAGTCCTGGAGACCTCCGGACCATTCTCCAGAGTACCTAACACTCCTCTCCACCATTACCCCAGCCTCCAAGAGTCCTCACCCACCAGCCAGACACTAGGTGCATCAAAAGCCTCCCACCTGCGGAACCCCTGAACCTCCTCACATGCACTTAGCTTAGCATCCCCAACTCCTCCCTACCAGCTCAGACTCGCACTTTGTACTGTCCTAGACCATTTCCCAAAGCCCCAAGCCCACCCGTGGCGCCTTTAGCTTGCTGCCTGCATCTTCCCTCTGTCTTCCTGAAACAGAGCAGCTTCTCCAGGCTCTGGGAGCTAATTTTTTCCCAAAAAGCCCCTTCCCCAACATCATCCCACCCCCAACCCACTTCCTCCCTCCGCACATCTCCCCTTCTTCCTTGTTCCTTGGCTCCCCTCATACTTCAGAGACCCCTGCTCTGTTTGTCTGCCTCCTCAACTTTTCTTTTTCCCCACTCCCACTCCTTCCAAGGAAACACGCCCTAAACTGCCACCGAATGAAGCCTGCTCTCTTTAGCGTCCTGTGTGAAATCAAGGAGAAAACTGGTATGTGGGCCCCCTTCTGATGTCCTTAACTCTAAAGACAGACCCCTGTTCACTATAGGGCTAAAGACTGACATCTTGGGGCCCGGAGGAAGTGAGGAGTCAGGGAGATTGCTGAGTGGGACTGGGGAAGGTACCAAAGCCTGGGAACTTGGGTCTCCACTTAGACCAAGCACTGGCTGTGGGGCCCCTGGGTCCCTAAGTCCACTCGCCTGCCTGCTTGCTAGGCCTCAGCATTCGAAGCTCCCAAGAGGAGGAACCGGTGGACCCGCAGCTGATGCGCTTGGACAACATGCTTCTGGCAGAGGGTGTGGCTGGGCCTGAGAAAGGAGGGGGATCAGCAGCAGCTGCTGCGGCCGCTGCAGCATCTGGGGGCGGTGTGTCCCCTGACAACTCCATCGAACACTCAGACTATCGCAGCAAACTTGCCCAGATCCGCCACATCTACCATTCAGAGCTGGAAAAGTATGAACAGGTGAGAAGAAGCTGGGGAGGGAAAGGAGGTGTGGCTATAAGGGCTTTGGGGAAGGAATCTTGAGGGCAAAGGGCTTCTCACCAGCCCACTGGCCCCCACTACAGGCATGTAATGAGTTCACAACCCATGTCATGAACCTGCTGAGAGAGCAGAGCCGCACGAGGCCAGTGGCACCCAAAGAGATGGAGCGCATGGTCAGCATCATCCATCGAAAATTCAGTGCCATCCAGATGCAGCTCAAGCAGAGCACCTGTGAGGCCGTCATGATCCTACGTTCCCGCTTCCTGGATGCCAGGTGGGGGACCAGGAAGTCATGTCAACCCCTAGCACCAGGCTCCTTCCCATTCCTCTCCAAGCCCCCGAGCTACCATGTCACATAGCACGGAACTCTGTGACAGTGGTGCCCTCTGAAATTAGGTAACATGGCAGCCCTGCTGGGACACCAACATCCTCCTCACTACCCTTCTCCCTCCTCTGTAGACGAAAGCGCCGTAACTTCAGCAAACAGGCCACTGAGGTCCTAAATGAGTATTTCTATTCCCACCTGAGTAACCCATATCCTAGTGAGGAGGCGAAAGAGGAGCTCGCCAAGAAATGTGGCATCACTGTCTCGCAGGTATTGTGAGGGTTTGGGGAGAAGGGAGCTTTCAAGCAAAATGTTCTCAGATCCTAGGAAGGGGTGGTGGTTTGCACCTGTAATCCAGCTACTCAGGAGGCTGAGGCAAGAGGATCATTTGTGCTCTGGAGTTCCAGACTAGCCTGGGCAACATAGTGAGACCCTGACTCTAAATGAATAAATAAATAAAAGAAAATGCTTCCAGGTACTATTCAATGAAAGGCTTCAGGGGGAAGCCCTTCTCTCAGTCTCCCTTTCTGTGAAACACCCCACAGGTCTCCAACTGGTTTGGCAACAAGCGCATTCGCTATAAGAAAAATATTGGAAAGTTCCAAGAGGAGGCAAACATCTATGCTGTCAAGACTGCTGTCTCAGTCACACAGGGGGGCCACAGCCGCACCAGCTCCCCAACACCCCCTTCCTCTGCAGGTAGATCCCACTGTCACCCCAGTTAGCTGTTTTGTACACTTCCTCCTTTTGTTCCCACTTCCTATCTGGGCAGGATCATAAGAGACAGGGGGCCTTTTAGGACTAGAGGGACCAATCTGAGGCAGGATAGAGATGTCAAGAGACAAAGGCCACTACAATAAGTTAATTCTGCCTTTGTTCCAACGAGTGTCCGGGATAGTTCAGGAACAGCCTGCTCTGAGTGTTGGAATAGTGTTCTCTGGATAATTTGTATAGGATGTGCTGCTACATAGCATATCCTCATAGAGCTAGTTTTAAGGGCTTTCTCGTAACTGAATTATCTCCTGTCTGCTATCACAGGCTTTCTTACACTCTTCCCTCTCTGTTCCTCCAAGGCTCTGGCGGCTCTTTCAATCTCTCAGGATCCGGAGACATGTTCCTGGGGATGCCTGGGCTCAATGGAGATTCCTATTCTTCCTCCCAGGTCAGCTGCCCCCCTTTCCTCTGAAGTAGGGCTTTCCCAAACTCCATTTCCCTGCTTTAGGATACAAGACTTCTTTTTTCTGGGCTTCTTACCATGTCTTACCTTTCTCTGCTGCCTGCAGGTAGAATCACTCCGACACTCGATGGGGCCAGGGAGCTATGGAGATAACCTCGGGGCGGGCCAGATATACAGCCCTCGGGAAATGAGGGTGAGTGGATTCTGATGCCCCCTCCCTCCAGCTCTCACCAGAACAGAAGGGCCTTTTCCCTAGCAGTGTTGTGCCCACAGCAGTGCTGTGCTCATATGTTGAGCTTCCCGAGGCCTTGTTTCCCAGATTCCAACTGTCAAACGCTTTTTCTTCCAGGCAAACGGCAGCTGGCAGGAGGCTGTGACCCCCTCTTCGGTGACATCACCAACAGAGGGACCAGGGAGTGTTCACTCTGACACCTCCAACTGATCTCACTCCATCAGGGTCACAGGGGTGGGGGTTCTCACAAGGCAACTGTTGAAGACACAGGCATCCAGAGGACAACCCCCAATACAAGAGAAGCACAAGACAGAGAAGGGCAAATGGGGTCATCCCCGCCTCAACTAAACTCTCTCAGTGCTGGGGGTGCTGACTACATGGCAGGAAGAATGGGGTCCTACAGAAGAGTGGGGTCTGTCTCCCCCTTCTTTTTTCTCTCTTACTCAGAAACACACCCAGAAACCTATTTCTCAGAGCCCTTTTTCTTCTCTCTCTCTCTTTTTCCTTCTCCCTTCCTCTCTTTTCCCCTCTTTCCCCTTTATTGTCCCACATACTCTCTCTGGGTTCCCCCACCCCACTTACATGTTCTGGAATCTGTGGAGACACCAGTCCTGCCCTACCAGAGATGCCAAAAATGGGGACACAACTTCTGGACAGAGGACATGGGCTATGCCTCCCTGTGCATCCCCACCCTCTTCCCCTCCAGACGGCTTTATTACCTCATACGCAGCTCATCTTAAACCAATAGAATCGCTCGGTGGACGAGAGTGTCT